AGGTGGAGCGATACTTTGCAGTCGACGGGTTGACAGAGGAGGAGAAATTGACAGTGGTAGGACGATGCTTAGAAGGGAATGCATAAGTATAGTATTAATGGAGAGACATGAGGCGACCCATTCGGAGTTAGGAGTTCAAGGATTGTTTATTAAAATGTTTTCGAATTTGTAGGGGAGGAGACTTCTATGAGTCGTTCTTTGCCTTGGCATAGGAGGGGACCATAGCAGAGTGCCGTGATAGGTTCGAGTATCTGGCCAACAGGCTAGACTTATTTTTAGAGGCATTGCTAGAGAGAAATTTTATGAAGGGGCTTAAACAGGAGATCTAAGCAACAATTCGAGTGATGAGGCCACGTGACTTGGGGGAGGCCATGGAGATAGCATAGTTGGTGGAGGACTAGAAGTATCTGGGAGGGGGATAGGTGAAGCAACTTAGGGGGTCATACATGATGATCACCACCTTTTTAGCTCTCAAGAGGGACCTGCACCAGGGAGTTTGAGGGAAGTATCAAAGGAGAAAATTGGAGGGGTATATGGGGCAAATTTTAAGAAGCTTATTGAGAAGGAGATACATGAGAAGAGGGCAAGTGGGTTTTGCTTCAGATGTGACAAGAAGTACATGTCAGGGCATAAGTATTAGGACTGAACTCTTCAGGTTCTCACCGTCTATAATGACGAGGAAGCTGAAGAGGAGGTAAGAGCGGGCTAGTGGTGGAGGAATAAAAGAATTAGTATTTGGATGTGGCGAAAGTCTCTCTAAACTTAGTGGTGGGATTTACCTCGAATCACATCATGAAAGTGAAGGGAGAAATAGCTGACTGAGAGGTGTTGGTGTTAATCGACAGTCGGGCAACCCACAATTTCATCTCCAATGACATTGTAGAGCTGTTAGGGGTAAAATTAGTGGATATTGGGGCTACAGGGTGATGATGAATATGGGAAAGGTGGAGATGAGTAGAGGAGTATGTAGGGGAGTAGTGCTGACTATTTAGAGGATCCAGGTGAGGGAGGATTTTCGCATTAGAGTTGGGAAGCACTGATGTCTTTCATGAGATGAAGTTGCTACAGACCTTGTGGAATACCAAGGCCAATTGGGGAGCACTGAGGATGCAGTTGGTGGTACGGGGAAGGAGGATGGTGATTTAGGGTGACGCCGGGTTGTCCAAGGCTGGGGTGTCTCTTAAATCTCTGATCAGGGCCATACAGGAGGTGGGAGGAGGATTTTTGGTGGAGTTATAGCGCTTGGAAGGGGTCAGAATGGAGGATGAGGGAGACATTCCTCTAATTTAGTCGCTCATACAACAGTTCAGTAAGGGTTTTCAACCTCCCTAGGGCCTACTTCCATAGAGAAAGCTAGAGCATGCCATTACCTTGAAGGAAAGGGTATCATAGATCGGTCTTTGGCCGTACCGCTATCCCCAGATTCAAAAGGATGAGATTGAAAAGTTGATCCATGAGATGTTGGAGGCAGGGATCATCAGGTCAAGTGTGAGTCATTTCTTTAGTCCAATCTTATTGATCAAGAAGGATGGGAGTTGGAGGTTTTTTGTGGATTACAGAGCTTTGAACAAAAGGATAGTTAGTGCCAGATAGGTTTCCTATTCCTGTGATTAATGAGCTTTTAGATGAGGTGTATGGAGCAGTGGTGTTTTTCAAGTTGGATTTGAAGTCAGGTTATCATCAAATCAAAATGAAGGATGTAGATGTTCAGAAGACGGCTTTTATGACACATGAGGGGCACTCTGAGTTTTTGGTGATGTTGTTTGGGCTTTACTAATGCCCCTTCTATTTTCCAGTCCTTGATGAATAGGATGTTCCGCCCGTACCTCCGAAAGTTTGTCCTGGTTTTCTTTGATGACATACTAGTGTATAGCAAGACTGAAGAGGAGCATCTAGAGCACTCGACGGTGGTTTTAAGAGTTATATAGGAGCATCAACTGAGGGTCAACTTAAAGAAGTGCAGCTTCGCACAGGCTTGTGTGGAGTACTTGGGGCATGTGGTATCCTAGGAGGGAGTGACGGCTGATTAAACCAAAATTGAGGCAATGCAGAAGTGGCATTTGCCTAGAACCTGAGGGAGTTGAGGAGTTTCCTAGGATTGACTGGTTACTATCGGAGATTTGTGAGGTGATATAGTACCATTGCTTGGCCCTTGACCGAGCAACTGAAGAATGATATCTTATTATGGGGAGAGGCAGTGACCTAGGCTTTTGAGAGATTGAAGCAAGTCATGACTACAGTCCCAATTTTAGCTTTCTCGAATTTCAGTCAAATTTTGTAGTGGAGACCGATGCGTCTGGATATGGGTTAGGGACCGTGCTCATGCATAACTATAGACCAATAGCATACTACAGTTAAGTACTGTCAGCCAAAGCTAGACTGAAGTCAGTATATGAGAGGGAGTTGATGGCCATTGCGTTGGCTATTCAGAAGTGGCGCCCTTACATGCTGGGTCGGCATTTCATTGTCAGGACAAATCAGAGAAGCTTGAAATACTTATTAGAGCAAATGATGGTGATCGAGGAGCATCAGAGGTGGTTGTCCAAACCGCTAGGCTATGATTTTTGAGATCCAATACAGGTCAATTTTGGAAAATAAGGCAGCCAATGCCTTATCAAGATGTGTTGGGGGCTCCAGGAGATGTTAATTTCAGTACAACTGATGGTAGATTGGGGGGCTATCAAAGAAGAGAGTATGCAGGATGAGTTGAGGGAGATTATGAAGGATTTTATGAAAGATAAGAGTAGCCATTTAGGGTACTCACTTGAGGGAGAGAGACTCTTACATCAAGGGAGGTTTGTGATGCCACGAACTTCCATCCATATTTCCCACCTGCTGCAGGAGTTCTCCATGGGAGTGCAATTGGAGGCCATTTTGGGGTACATAAGACATACTGGAGACTGACTGTTGAGTTATTCTGGAAGGGGATGCATAAGAATGTGGAGGAGATAGTGGCGAGGTGTGAAGTGTGCCAGAGGAATAAGTACATGGCTATGGTTCTAGAGGGGTTACTACAACCCTTAGCACTTCCAAACAGGTTATGGGAGGAAGTGTCCATAGATTTTATAAATGGCCCACTACGATTGGAGATTTTCACAATCATTTTGGTGGTGGTGGACAGATTGAGTAAGTACGCACATTTCATTCCCTTACGATACCCCTACACCGCAGTGACAGTTGCAGCAGCATTCATTAGAGGTGGTTAGAATGCATGGGATTTCAAAGTCGATAGTTTCTGACCGAGACTAGGTATTTCTCCTCCAGTTTTGGAGGGAGCTATTCAGGTTACAAGGAATAGTTCTTAAGAGAAGCATTACTTGCCACCCACAGACTGACAGACAAACGAAGGTAATCAACAAAAGCTTGGATACTTACTTGAGGTGCTTTGCTTATGAAATACCACGGATGTGGACTGTGGTTAGCATGGGCTGAATATTTGTACAATACCTCATACCACTCAGCTTCTCAGCCCCTTTTAAGGTGTTGTATGGAAGGGACCCCCCACTTTTAGTGCACTTTGGGAAAGGAAGCACACCAATTTCCTCAATAGAGCAGTACTTGGAGGAAATGGATAGGGTGTTGGAGGATTTGAAGAAACATCTGTTGAGGGTACAGCAGATCATGAAGAAGCAAGCAGATGCACATAGGAGATACATCCAGTTTGAAGTGGGGCAGAAGGTGTTCTTAAAACTACGGCCCTATAGACAGAGAACAGTGTCCAACAAGAGAAACGAAAAAAAATTCCCGAGATACTTTGGCCCTACGAGATATTGGACAAGATTGGAGCAGTGACGTACCATTTGAAGTTACCCCCATTTGCCACCATAACCCAATCTTTCATGTGTTACAGTTGAGGAGAGCTCTTGGGGAGTATGCATTTAGTCAGTTAGTGCAGATTTACTGGCAACTTTGATAGAGAAATTGGAAGTGGTCTTAGAACCACTGGAGTCAGAGAATCTTTTTTGCAAAAATCCAGAGAATCTCCATTTCTTATATTTAAAGTGATTAATATAGTTGTAAACAGGAGATAATTTTGTGGAGGATATGGAAGGCTTTGCGTCCAAGGAAAAATAAGTAGCATTATATGAAACGACAACATACATTCTTACCCACATGTTTACTGTTTGAATTGGTAGGAAGTGGAGATATCGGGGAATTCAGATGAGCATTAGTGTTAGTAATAATAGAAGATGAACCAAGAGCTTTAATGGTTGTAATATTAGATGATAAATCCGAAGGGAAAACCTCTGCAGCAACCTCAACTTTGTTGGAATTATTCATTTGGAAATAGAGCAAAGAGTACAACTGCAGAATTATTAGCTTTAATAGTTGAGGAAATTGAACGAGTCCTAGACTGCCAAAATAGAATTATCTTCAAAAAATTATTTCCCTGCAACATTCTTGCCAGCTTTGGAATTGGAAGAGCATTCAGATCAACAACATTATCAGACAAAAATTGAAACTTCACATTGATCGAAATGTTGTAGCAGAACATATTAGAATGCATAAAAAAACTGGAATTTCATTCAGATTGGTAACATTATCAGACAAAAATTTAAACTTCACATTGATTGAAATAGTGTAGAACATATTAGAATGCGTCAAAAGACTCTTTGGAATATCATTGATCCTAGCATAATACTTTTCTAAAGTGAAAGCTGCCGAATGAGAGTTCTTCAACTAGATGGTATTTGTTCAACAGTAATGCAGAGTTGAAGTCAAACACAATTAAGTTCTCACTCTTCATTTTGATTCAGCAGAAATTTTCCTGTATTATTATTATTATTATTATTATTATTCTATCATCTGCAGAGTTTCCAGCAAATAAGAAAAGTGGTTTTGGTGGTAGAAGTCATATATAAGATTGTGCTTCTCATTGATAACATAAAAATTGTCCAGTTTCATCAACCTGTATTTGCTCTTAGCATACAAAGTGAAAGATATAATTCTTGCATGTTGCTGGGCACAAGTGTTTGAACTTTTTTTATGTCCTTACGCAGATTCTCAACGGCGAAAGAACACGTGCATCATCCTCTAGGAATGATAGCATATCGAAGAGAGCTGTAGCTGCAGGCTCTCGACTTTCATCCTCGGGCGAGCTCAGTGACCAACAACACAGCCGAACAAGCCGGCTTCTTTCAGGCGGCAGTAGCGGCAATCGTCCCATGCAACAGAGGCTTCACCATTCTGGTGAATCCAGAGCTTCATCCCTTGCTCGAACTGCAGGTGGCCCAAAAGCTTCCCGTGGCGATCCTCCTCATAGAAGCTTTGAACTCCTCTCTCTCAGTGCTGAAAGGAAGAAGTAACAGTAGAACCTGCTTGATGCGAAGAGGCAGCTGCAGCTGCTATATAAGAGTCCGTGCCATTCTTTAGTTTTATTTCTAAATTTCTTTTGAATTCTTATCATTTATGCCTTGGTGTTCTGATGATCAACCAAAGGGAAAAAGAATGAGAACATTGACCGATTCTTTTCAGCTGGTGAATGTGCAACATATCAACAGCAGGGCGTCCCATTTCAGCCGTTTTAAGGCTATATTTTTCTTTTAATTCGTCAGAGGCCCAACGTTCCTTCTGATTCCAAGCCATCGATATTTTATAGCAGCCCAGAATGGAACACTATTATTGAATTTTATGAAGAATTAGTCATAAATTTTATGAGTCTGTAACAAAATTTTGGTTTGAGCGATTGTCTTACTGAACAAAGCATGGCTAGCTCCTGTGACCAAATCTCCTTCTGGGTTGAGACAGTTCTATAGCTTGTTACTCTCTATGAGTTATGGGATTCAGTGTTTGTTTATATATAAAATATAATGGTCTTATGGGAAAAACTGATATGTATTATAATTTATTCATTGGTATGGTTATGATTAATTTTATGGATGGATTCAGAGGCAATCATTCTTTTAAGTGGTTCTTATTCTGTAGCAATTCTTTTTAAAAGCTATGGTTGTGATTTTAACTTTACTCAAACATTTTTTCCAGCTTGCTTATTTAAATAAAAGATACCTGATTAGTAAAAAAAATTTGGATGTTTATTTTCATTGCCTTTTTTCTTACAAAAAAAAAAAGAATGTTTTTTTAAAATAACAGTTAAATTTTAAAATTAAAAAAAAACAACTAAAATGCAAACTAAAACAGATTTTTTTCAAAAACAAAAACAACATAAAAAAAAGATCCCAAACAGCCCCTAATTAAATTATTGTTCCTTGTTTGGTTATAAATTAAAATAGAAACATATTGCAATGTGATATATATATATATTCTTTAAAAACAGTTTAAGTTGCTTGGTAATTGATTGAACCTCAAAGATCCTAATATAAAAAATTTTAAAATCTTGCAACAACCAATATTAAGACAATGCAAAACTTAAACAACCAAATACAAGATTTCTCCTCAAGTTTAATCAAATATAATCATAATTATTACTGACATAACAGTACAATATTACAAATCCAATAGCAAAGTCTTAAAGACTTGCTTACACTATGTGACAAACAATCTGCATTCTGTAATAACCATTTATGCATTTACCCATTTCAATTCACGAATTTCACATCACCTGTAAGGTAAAATACATAGTAAACTAGTTCTTGTCTCTGTTTGCAATAAATATTTTAAGTTCAACGGTAGTATGCCATATGCCTTGAAGATCTGAAGGGAGACGCATCAAAGGGAGAAGAAGACCCAGTAGACTTTGCATGGAAACCAATAAGTTCCTTCTTGGGTAGCTTGGTCTCAGACCGAAGCCATGATTCAACAACAGAGAGCAAGTTTTTGGCATCTTTTAGCTCTTGAATATCAGCTACTTTTGCTAATCTTCTCAACTCCCCTTCTTGGATATAGGCCAAGTCTGTCGCCCAGGCCTCTAAGCCATCAAATATATGGGTGGCATAAACAATGGTAGCTCCTCTCTGAAGAATGTTTTTCATCAGTCCATGGTAAAAACAGCTTTGATTAGGGAAATATTCGCTCCTACCTGTTCACACTCTTCCTTGAAGAAATCGAGCAAATCCATTCTTGTGACGACATCTAGGTCGACCGTCACCTCATCGAGCAACAATACCTGTGTACGCTCGAAGTAAGATTACCGTCATCCTCATCATTGCCATTAGTCTTATTCTAATTATCTAGAACTGGTTTTCAGAATCCTCGTCCATCGTTCATTTATGTTGTGTTGTATGAGATGTTAAAACTTTTCTAAGCATATCTTTTTGCATAATATCCACATTATCTTTGGCCTCTCTCTTTTCTTTATAATACTTCGACATTAATTTTACATACTCATCCTACCCGTGCATTTTCTATCTTTCATTACATAGATTCAAATCACTTAAAACTATTTATATTACCTTACCTTCAGTCCACTCACAATCCCTTCTAATCATTTCTCAATCTATCAATTCTTAATTTTGGCACATCATCTTCACATTCATATTTCTTTGATGCTACAACTTATAAATTAATGATTTTTTACCGCCTAACACGATACATATAATATAGCCTATCTATAATCCAAATAAGATGGAACCCTTACTGGTGCTATTCAGATTCACAAAAGACTTGAAATTCCCACATGCAATATGCATGTTGTTTGTGCATTTAGAATTTAAGCAGCTATTAAAACTACATAAAAACTCTTGCAAGAAGAAAATTCATATTTCACTATTTGTCCATTTTGATTGTAAGTCTTATTTACTCGAATCTATTGCAATCAAGAAAGCAAAAAAAGTGTAATTTTAAAGAGATCTGAAAGAAACATAATAAGTTTGATTTCAGAAACAACATTCCCCAAAACAAGGCAACTTACAGCAAAAAAAGTAGTCTCTGCTTCATAGAGTTTATGGGTGGGAAAAAATGCATCCAATGATGTTTACCTTGTATGGCTGAAGAAGGCCAATGCAAATTTGGACACGACGGCGCTGGCCATCTGAAACTTTATGCATCCTCCATTGCAAGTTAATATCAAGCAGGTCAATCAGTTTCTCCCTCCTAAGTGGATCAGCCCCTTCAACTATGAAAAATCATAAAAATAATAACGAAAAAAGCATGCCTAATCCTTATACTTAAGTCCCATCTTGACTGCTTACACAATTAGATTATTTAAAATATCATGTCAAACTTAGCATCATATCAAGCTTAACTTCGTACAGGAATCGTCTTCATTAACTTCATCCAAACTTCGCGATGAAACCAAAAACAACGTTTAGATTGACTCTATTATGAATATAGAGGAGCAGGCCCGAGGAAACAGCCTGTTTGCATTAAAAGAGGTAGTTTTGCATGCATCAACCTCCCCAACATTTACATTATGGGGATCTTATGATTTGGGGATAATCTACCTTTAGCATTCATTCTTATAGAGTGCTGCTAAGGGTCAAACTCTAATTCACACCAACTTGACTACTAATCATATTATATTTGATCAAATACTTTTTCTTCCTATTCCTTCTAATCGTTATTAAAATACAAACAGGATGATTCCATCAGCAAATCAAGTTCTCTGATAAAACATGAATGAGAGCATTAAGGCCTCAGCGTGATTTTTGATATGCAATGGTACCTCGGCCAAATTTAAAGGGAGAAACAAACCTCCAAATATCATGTGCTCCGCTGAGAAATCACCTTGGAGTGGAACATCACCCTGAAATTTGAGCAAAAAAACAGAAAAATACCTTAATCCATGAAATACCAAAAGTTTTTATGGCATTAATAATCTAAGTAGGTTGACTGAGCAAAGCAATAATGCATTTCAATGAACATGGTTTTGGCTCATGATCTGGGTCTACATTACACCAACTAGTTTGGTATATTCAGTGTGTTGATGTGGTGACTGTAGCGCCCTACTATTGCGGCATTGTAGTGTTTCTTATTTATTCCTCTCCTAAACTCTGGGCTGTAACGTGGGCTATCTTCCATTTGAACATATGATGTATTGATTTTTCTCCTCAAAGAGGTAGGCAATGTATGACGCATATCGGAAATGACACACATCCAACACACCTCCGACACTTGTTAGATACACCGAAGATATGTTTATTAAAAGAATATTAAAAATGAATAGGACATGCATGTCCGACACGGCTTAAAATTTTTAAATATAATTTCTTGTATTTCAAAATTTATTTATTAAAATAATAAAACTAAATTTATTATTTCCAATCTACAATCTCAAATCAATCGCTCATATTCAATACCAATTCCCCGTTGCACAATATCGATGCCCGACTCTCAACAACATTATCAACTTCCCTCTCAATATCATATTCAAATTTGGAGAGGGAGGAGGAAGGAAAAGAGTCCATTAGAGATGTTGCCGAGGAATTGCAATGACTGAGGAAAAGTTTTTCTCTATGACCATGATTATTGTCAGTTTAACTATCACAATGTTTAGTAGAAAGGATAGATTAGTCAAAAATTGGTTGAGAAAGAGGAGCTCAATGGCCTGAAGAACTTGGGAGAAAGCATTGTAAATATTGGGAATAGTAGAGTAGGCCATCATCTGTGAGTGAACATATTGGAGGGAATGATGAAGCGCAGAGAGAAACTAGGCAACAAGAAACCCTCCTTTTTTTTTAGGTTAGTTAAATTTGTGGCAAGGTATTGTAATATATTTGGAGAGGCAAATCATTTTGTTGAAGAAAGAAGATAAACAAAATAGGGTATAGATATAAGAAATATTATTTTTCTGAACATAAGTGAAATGAAAAGTCCAACATTTTCATCATAGTACAATGGAACAAGATAGTAAATATAATAACAGGATCAAGACTATAGAGTAATCAAATGAGAATAGCTTGATCACATGCCTACCATTTATAAAATTTGATCACAGGTCAAAGAAGTTGCATCGATCTAATGAAGTTTGTCATGAGAACCACCAAGTAAATGAAAGGCACTTAGTAAAAAAAAAAGTTCCTAACATTAAATTTGATGGTGATACACTGATACTCATGGTGAAAGGTTTTGTCATAGGAAAGAACGGAAAAAGGTCAAACCATTGTGAGAAGGTAGGCATAACAAATCTAAGAAAAACTTGGGTCACGGAGATGAATGAAAGCTCAGAAGAACACGCCATAAAAAAGAAGAAAGAAATACAAAGAAGCAACAAGCATGGACTGCAAGTGAGGTTGCATGCATTGTTTATAGTACCAATAGAGGAAGCTGATAGGAAATACTTGAGTTCGCAAGTAATCCTATCGAATTTACTTGAGTTTGCAAGCAAGCCTAACAATAATTGGTTCAAATCAGCGAGAAAAATAAGAAAAACTTGGACAAATCAATCTAGAAATGACAAATTGCGATAGTGGAAACAAAACAAAGCAAAACTCAAAGCAAGATACAATTGATCCTCAATTCGAGAGGATGATCGTCTCTCCCAAATCTCAAGACAAGAGAGTCTAGAACCCAAGTCGCCAAGAAACCCTAATTCCAATCAATCAAAACATAATCCCCCTAATCTCTCATGCTCTTTAATACAAAAATTTTCCTAATCTAATTTCCCTCCCAAGCCCTAGCCACCCCCCTCCTTTTCAATTTGAATTCAGGTGGACAAGTGGGGCATACCCTTTGGGCGGACAAAACCAAGAGAGGCGGACTGCTTCCGCCTCCTGTAGAACAACTGAGCCGGCCCTTGGGCCGGCTGGGCCGGTTCACCCTGAACTGGCCTAACAATACTGCCCTCCCAAAGAATCACCTTGTACTCAAGGTGAAAACAAGGAAACTGATGTTTAATCATCTCGTATGGCTCCCACGTGGTCTCGTAATCATGAAGGTTCTTCCACTTGATCAACACTTTCTTAGTTCCATCTTCTTTTTGGCAAACCCCCATTAGCTCTAAGGGTTCCAGAACCACCTCTAAATTCTCAGTAAGTGTCGCCAGTAACTCGGGGTTGGCTGTATAGTCACCAATGGCCTTTCTCAATTGCGATACATGAAAAATCGGATGTATAGTCTCCGTTGGTGCTAGTTTCAGCCGATATGCTACTACTTTGATCTTCTCCAGTACTTCATAAGGCCCAAAGTACCTTGGAGCAAGCTTCTCATGTTGGCGACTGTCTTCTGTCTATATGGTCAGAACTTCAAGAACACCCTCTCCCCCACTTCTGGATGTCCTTCCTATGCCCATCAGCTTGCTTCTTCATAATCTGTTGAGCCCTTAGCATATGTCTCTTCAACTCTTCTAGCACTCTATCCCTCTCCTCCAAGTACTCCTCTACTAAAGAAACTGGAGTACTACTCCCAAAATGCACCAAGTGGGGAGGATCCCTTTCGTACAACACCTTAAATGGGGTCATCTGAGAAGTGGAATGAAAAGAGATGTTATACCAATACTCAGCCCATGATAGTCACTTAGCCCATAGCTTGGGTGTCTCAGACACAAAGCATCTCAGTTAAGTCTCCAAGCTCCTGTTGACTACTTCCGTTTGGTCATTCGTCTGTGGGTGGTAAGTTGTGCTCCTCTTTAGAACTATCCCCTGTAACCTGAACAACTCCTTCAAAAGTGGTTGAGGAACACCTTATCTCTATATGATACTATCGCCTCTGGTACTCCATGTAATCTGACCACCTCTTTGATGAAAGCTGAAGCCACTGTCACTGCTGTGTAGGAGTGTCGGAGGGGAATGAAATGTACATACTTGCTCAACCTGTCCACCACCACTAAAACCACAGTGAAACCTTCTAAACGGGGCAACCCATCTATGAAGTTCATGGATATCTCCTCCCATACTCGTCTCGGAAGAGCCAACGGCTGTAGTAGTCCTTATGGTGACATAGCCAGGTATTTGTTCCTTTGACGGATCTCACATCTGGCTACCATCTCCTCTACATCTTTATGCATCCCCTTCCAATACAGCTCCGAAGCTAGCTTCCAGTATGTCTTATGCATACCTAAATGGCCCCCAACAGCGCTTCCATGAAATTCCTGGAGTAAGTTTGGGATGTGAATCGAGGTCTGGGGCATCACAAACCTCCCCTGATATAGCAGTCTGTCCCCCTCCAATGAGTACCTTGGGTGGCTATCCTCTTCCTTCAGTAAATCTGCCCTGATCTTTCCCAAATCCTCATCCCTAGCACTTTCTTCTTTGATGGCCTCCCAATCAAGCATCAAAAGAATAGATAGTGCCACTGTCTGCAGCTCCCTTATACATCTGGATAAGGCATCTGCATCCTTGTTCTCTAGTCCTGGCCCATACTGAATCTCAAATCATACCCCAGCAATTTGGACAGCCACCACTAATGCTCCTATATCATCATCCACTATTCTAGCAGGTATTTCAAGTTCCGCTGATTTGTCCTGACAATGAAATGCCTCCCAAGTAGGTAGGGCCGCCACTTATGGATGGCCAAAATGATGGCCATTAACTCTCTCATAAATTGACTTCAGCCTTGCTCTAGCAGTCAACGCCTGGCTGAAATAGGCAATGGGCCTATGACTCTGCATAAGCATTGCACCCAGCCCGTATCCGAATGCATCTGCCTCCACTATGAAGATCTGAGTGAAATCTGGCAAAGCTAGGACCGGCACCGTAGTCATAGCCTTCTTCAAGCTTTCAAATGCTGATGTGGCCGCCTCCCCCCATAAGAAATCGTCCTTCTTCAACTGCTCAGTGAGTGGTCATGCTATGGTGTTGTACCTCTTTACAAACCTTTTGTAGTAACCTATCAGTTCTAGAAATTCCCTCAGCTCCTTCAAATTTTTAGGCACTGACCACTTTAATATTGCCTCAATTTTGGACTAATCTGCTGCCACCCCTTCTTTTGATACAACATGGCCCAAGTACTCTACACTGACTTGTGCGAAGCAGCACTTCTTCAAGTTGGCTCTTAGCTAGTGCTCCTGCAGCACCTCTAACACCCTTTTTAAATGCTCCCAGTGCTCCTCTTCTGTCCTGCTATAGACTAAGATGTCATTGAAGAATACCAATACAAATCGTCTGAGATAAGGTTTGAAAACTTTATTCATAAGTGCCTGGAAAGTGGCTGGAGCATTGGTGAGGCCAAAAGGCATCACCAAGAACTCATAGTGTCCCTCATGAGTTCTAAAGGCCGTCTTCGATACATCCTCATTCTTTTGGATCTGATGGTCTCATGATTTCAATTCTATCTTGCTGAGGATCACTGTTCCACTCAATTCATCTAACAGCTCGTCAATAACTTATATATGAAACTTGTCAGATACAGTTTCCTTGTTGAGCGCTCTGTAGTCCACACAAAATTGCCAGCTGCCATCCTTCTTCTTCACCAATATAATCGAACTAGAGAAAGGACTGACGTTGGGTCTGATGATTCTTGCCTCTAGCATCTCTCTAATTAATTTTTCAATTTAATCTTTCTGACACTAAGTTAGCAATAAGGCCGTACGCTAATGAGTGACACACCCTCCCTCAAAATGATGGCGTGCTCCTGCTCCTGCTCCCTCTGCGGCGACAATCCCTGAGGTGGCTGAAACACTTCTTAGAACTACTGAATCAGTGGCTGTATGAAGAGGGGTATGTCCCCTCTCTCTTCCAATCTAGCTCCCTCCAAACTGTGCAGCTCCACCAAATATCCTCTATTTGCCAACTGTATATCCCTCGCCATAGTTTTAAGAGAGAGAATGAATTTGTATAGCCTTGCATCTCCCCTAATCACCACCTTCCT